AAAGTAAGCTCAACAATTATGAAACAAGACATTCCTCAAAACCCAACTTTTCTTCGCATATGGTCTAGTATCGTTTATGAGTAAGCTCCTACCCTTAGCTTTTGTCCAAGTGCTGTATTCACCTCATTTTGTTTAAGAAGATAAAGGACTGGTAGTTGAATTTTTCCGTCTTCAAAAGAAATATTGTGAATGTGATCCTCCGGTAGTATTGAAACAAAATTATAAACAAAAATAAGTAATGTATTCGATTGTTATAGCAAATAAAAATGTGACTCATCAACAATCTTACCACAGACAATGATATTAGAAAAGTTTGGCCTTCTTTAAAATTTACCTTTTTTTTGTGATTCAAGCGCATTTTTAGCGATGTTGCATAGTGGTTGACGTGTCGAAAATTTAAGCTGCGCTACCACAACCCGAATTCGAGTCCCACGGGGTATGGAGGTGAAAAGAATCCAGTTTGCGCAATCCAGTCTGGATAAGAATAACTTTTGGGAAACAGGGCTTTGAGAAGTTTGATGAAACCATAACGCCAACCCATAGCATTAGGAAAAATGTGACTTCGTGGCTTCGTTCAGCTCTTTTCTGAATTGCTTACCAATGTAATTATTTTGATTAAACTTTATTTTCACCAAGTGTACATTAGATTTTGATCTTTTAACATTTAGATCCACATTTGAACTTTATAGTTTATATTTATAAACTTCTGAATCCAAACCTGCGAGTTCACAGCTTTTACACTTCCTGCTCAGCTCTGTTATCTGGCCCAACATGTGAATTATGGGAAACCTTCAGCTTATGCTCACCTCGGTTTCTGGGATACACTTCAGTTGCAGTTCATACGTCTCTGGGGCCAGCTTCGTTGGTGTGGCGTTGATCCTTCCCTCCAGTATCGTGCTTATCAGCACCACCGATTGACAATACCGACAGCCGTCCACCAAACTTGGACGACTTTTTGGGCCTTTACACACAAACGACGGCCAACTCGGGGCTTCCACAAAGCCGTCAATCTCGGTCTGGGTCCAGGAGCCGAGGCGTGAACAGGCCTGACTACAGGGCAGGCATACACGGCTTGTTGCATCCAAATAGTTTTCGATTGAGCAATTGGCTTTGCAGATGCCTCCTTCCTTTTTAGACAAAAGTGGTGGGAGAAGAAAGATACAGAATTAAGGCTGATTGGAGAAGTTTTCTCATCTGTCGACTTTAATTCAACGCCATTGGAGTCAGCAAACTAATGAGGGAATCATAATCCATTATGCGCTCAAATAAGAGCTTCTGTATGGCAGAAATGTCAGGCTTGATTTATGTGAGGTTCGGATGGGCCGAGATTAAAAAGCTATCTTTCTAACAGATTCGTGGCATATCCATATTGGGTATGTTTTAATACTACCATTAAATCTTGAATAGTAATTTTATTCGCCCCAGTTCACATAAGACGATAGAGGGCCGGTTGGTCACAGCATAGCTGGTTCACACCCATATTATAACTACAGTGTGAGTGTAGACGAGG